CCTACACGACCAAAGAGACTATAATAGCTTGGAATGTTGCTCCTTCCAACTGGGGCGTAGGACTAACTTATTCCTCCAATGTCAACTTCACTTAAAGCACGCACTATCCACCCTTTTCATTTACTTGTTTAAACTCCACGGTTATTTTTATCTGCTGTGATCAATTTTCCACAAGAGAAGTAAATTAATGGTCTTTGTCAAGAGACTTTCTCCTTTTGTTACTTAACAAACATGAAATGTACACCCATTGAAGTTATTCTTTACACATGTTCCCATTCAACCTTTCCAATGGATAAATATAGATTCTATTTAGAATCACTCAAAATTAAAAGTTATTTGATTACTCATTAATGTATTGTAGGGGTATCAAAGAAGTTAATCTCCATATCTAGTTTTTCATGTCTTATATTGATTGGTACTTTCTTTTATGTGCAAATTTATTTGATATTATTTTATATATTATTCAATTCACGGTATTAAATAATAGACAAAACTTAAGAAGTATATATCAAATATTAAATATTATTCAAATAATTCATTTTATCAATTGACTTAGTGATAAAAAGTACCTTTTTATAAAATAAATAAAAATTATGTTACCTTCACCTTAATAATTTGCTCTTACCGTTATTGTGAGTTACAAAGTTATGGTATTAATTATGACTGCAAATTTGGGTTGTTCATGGAGGTGCAACCATTATTGTTTGTGTTTGTGGTGAAGGGAGGGTTTGGTGGCCATGACATGTGCTATGCTACCATAGCTGTGGGATTAGAGCAGCATTGGGTTGCTTATGGAGGTGCATCAATGATTATTATTTGTGTTGGTGGTGAAGGGAGGGTTTGGTGGCCTGTGGCCAAGACATGTGTGCAATGCTACCATTACATTATGGTTACGTAGGATTTTTTTAGGAGACATGTGGACACTTTGGACGATTCTAATTTAGTGATTTGATGTGGATAACCTATTGGAGTATTTTTTTTAAAGTTCCATACAGTAATTATTGTTAGAAGACCAAGAAAGTAACTAATGTGACGCAAAACGAAAGAGAAAGTTGGAAGAACAAGATATAATATAAATTAGAGTTAATTAATGGACTAAAATGTTAATTTCTCATAATTAAAGGTATTCTTAATCAAGCTAAGTTTCTTAATATTAATGCACAAATTATTTCACACGGATAATGAAATGAGAGGCATAATAGATTTCATCTTATTTTCAATTTAAAATAATAAAAGAATAAACTAAATTTCATCTTTTTCTACTACCATGTTACTTGAAAGATCCAATCTGAACATAAAAATAAAAACAACAAAAGATCCAAATCTGATTTATTTTGGAGTATGTTATAAATACAAAATGGAGACCATATAAGTTTCGAATCTTGGAAGGTAGGCTGGACCTTGTTGTTTTCTTGCCATGCCCTAGGCAGCTTGGATTGGACTTCATCAATGGCTGTCTCCTCCAAACCGTGGCTTCATTTTCTTCTTCAGTATTTTAAATATTTTCTATATCAATATCACATACTCTGCTGCTACTAGAAAAATTAACAATATTATTTTCCATTTATAAAAATGTTATATATTTTTACATCATAAGTGGAATGGAATATATTTATTCAGAAGTATTAACCGTCACTTCTTTTTATTCCTTTTTGAGTTCTTTCTTATAGACAATAAAAAATAAAAATACTAAATGAGTTAGAATATTAAAACAGTCACTTACCTCCAACTTGAAGCAAGAAGAAAGGTTAGATACGATATGTGCCACATGAAGACGCTACACTTTGTTTATTCCACATTCCTCATCATTGCACATTTCACATAATATATTAGAGATGTAAACGGTTGAGTTCGGTTGAATTTAGACTATTTTACTACTCAATTTTAATATATCTCACTACTATTTCCGGGTATATTTCTTTTTATTCCTAAAAGTTACAATCACGGCAACGTATTCCAACTTAAAACTATGTATATATATTATTCTATTTTTTTATTATTAAGTTGATCATAGTATAGTTTGTACTATTTGGTTATATAATTTGGTTTTTCTAATGATTGGTTTTCTTTTTATTACTACCATAAATTAAATAACTTAACCAAATAATTGTGAATTTTGAAATCAGAACTAGAACTAGATATAATCATGAATATATTTTACTCGGTATTTGGTTCAACTTCAAGGATTCATATTTAGTGTATAATTATGTCAAAATCAACATAAAAGCAACCTTAAGATGTTTTAGGACTCACATTGAGTAGTATCCAACGAGTTTCCGAACACATTGTTAATTTGGAAACTCAAACCATTCAATCTATTAACATAAAAAAATACGTTAAATTAAATTATGAATAATGATCAAATCATTATTAGATCAAATATCGAATAGCATGTTCTAAAATTTAATAAATCCAATTTAAACTAGCTTAATTTTTCTCTTTTTATTTTTATTTTTATTTAATTTTGTGTTCCTATTAATATTGCTTTAGACATTAAAAATATATATAAATATATGTATAACATGAAATTTTATCATGTTTTCATTTATATGAATGATATCAAATAAATTTGGACTAGTATAAAATTTTACACATATATAATTCAGGTGGAGTGAATTTTCAATCTGAAGATAAATTTAGGAGAATACATGATTTTAACTTGATTCAGCAGTATAATACTTAATAAAATTTATATTAATATAATTTGATTATAATATTTTATAAATAATTATTTTAAAAGTTAAATATAAAAACATATAATAACTTAATATTCAACCCGATTCAAACAAACAAACTTTTGATTTAGATCGAATTGAATTAAAAATATTTGAGAAACTCAATTTAACTCAATATAATCATATTTTAATTTTTTTTTGAAAGAATAAATTTCACCCAATCTGACCCTTGATCCTCGATAAAAAAAAAAAAAAAGCTCATTGCATTTAAATTGAGCTTTTCTACGTAAAGGTTTTATATGTCGATGAAGACGTGAAATAACCAATTAATCTTACAAAATTAAAAAAAGACAAGTAGATAATAACTGTATTAAAATTTAAGATCTATTTATTTAGACTTAAAAATAATTAAGTAGTTACTAAAAGTACTTTCTCTGAATTTATATATAAACAAATAAAACTAATTTCATACATATTAAAAAATTCATTAAATACACGCAATTTTTACAATGTCATATAAATATATATATATATATATATATATATAAATAGTCACTCTCGCGTAAGCTCCAATAGCTTAATCAGGACCCAACAATTTTTCAAAAATAAAATATTACCAAGTTTGATGCTTCAACTTTAAAAAGTGCAGCAGAAAATATATTAGTGACATTTTTCCCACGTTGTCTGCAGGATTTTGTTTTTATCATATGACAGAAATTAATAACCAGAACTGTAAATATTTTTAATATATTTTTTTGTCATGTGTTATATTGTAACAAAAAAAAAATTGGGTTTAAATATGATGGCTACTTTTTATAAAATTGTTTTAGATACTATTCGGTGAATATATATTCGATCATGTATCTTTGCGTAAATATTTCTAAAATATTGTTAATCACACCCATGATATCCCTCTCGACATGTATAATAAAAATATAAATTTTATAAATATTAAAAAATTTAAATAAATAGATTTAATTTTCATGATCTTATGTAAAATATAGATTATATTTATTAAAATATTATTAACCATATTTATAATAGATATTAAATAGTGTTCTCATTTATTATCTTAAGAGTATTTTTGGTTTAAAATTATTGAATAATGTTGATTTTATCGAAATTTGTTTATATTTTAATATAAAAATGTAAGCACTATTTATTTATATATAGGTTTAGAGTGAGTAGATAGTACTTTTTAGATTAAAAATATTAAATAAAATTGATATACGAAATTTTCTTATATTTTGATTAGAAAATTTAAGTATTTTTCTACGTATATGTTTAGAGGGAGTGTTTGTGGCACATATATTTTTAAAGGTTTTTATTGTTTATTTAAGAGTAATTAATTTGATAAAAAAAAAAAGTCAAAAACTATATGCTCTGAAACTCTCTTAACTAGTAAAAATTTTCAGCTTTCTATTATTGAGTTTTTTTTAATTGAACTTATAACAACTCACCATTTACAAATCTTAGTACATTATTGATTTATTATTATTATTATTATTATTATTATTATTATCAGGGGAGATAAATTTGCATGATGCGTGCATTGAGCTCCTTCCAGCAGTTCATGTAAATAACGTTGTTTAACCACTATGAATTAAGATTGGGAAGAATTACTGTAGATAATATTTAATTTTTCAATTTTGTATCATTAACTACTTAATTATGTATTGTTATAATTATCATTACAAAGTGCAACCAGGAGACAAGTTAAGGGACGAGGATATGACGTGGTGGAGTTTATAAGAAGGTATTTATTAATTTAATAATCTAACTAACAGCTAATACAACGCCTAAATACCGATTATGAAATCAACGTCATATGAAATATAAAAAGATGGACACCAACTTAAGAGCTGTTTGGCTACATGGCTACGATTAAATACATATATAAGAAGACTTCTAGTTCTTTTAATAACTACTAGTTAATATTTAAATACAAATATTTTGTATTTATGTTTTATTCAACATAGACACATGATAATTAAGTATTACATTCATTATAGTACTTTAATTCAAGATTCTTCTAAAATATGTTTGAATACAAAATTAATTTTAACTATTAAATTATATTTTAAAGACATTAAAAGTTAATTTAGAAATAAAACTGAGAATAATAAATTAAGAAAATATTATAAAGTTTTATCTTTAAAGAAAATTTATGAAAATTGGTCCATTTAAAAAAGTTCTTAAAAGAATTTTAAAATGTAATTTTAAGAAAAAACAATTTTGAGAAAGTAAAAAAAAAAAAAAGTGTATTAAATGATATTTTAAAAATTTAATATCTCATCCAGCGTGATCCTTAGAGAGGAGGGATCAGATATTAAATGAAAAAAAAGAATAGTTTTAGAAAGAGAGATGTTGCGATGCTTAAGAGTGATTAAGAAGTGGGAGCAAAGAAATTCCAGAATTATTAAGAAGTAATTGGAGTGAGTGTTGATATATATGTTGAATGTTGAAAAAAGGAAAAAGAGAATGGAATGTATGAAATTGAGAGAGTGATATCCTTTGCTTGCATGCAAGAGGAAGAGGAAGAGGAGAGAGAGAGTTATAGGTGCGGTGGTGGAGTGAGAGGGGTCCACAATCCACGGTGACTGAGCACGAAAACCGAGGCCTCCAACGCCACTTATTAAAAATAAAAAACAAACAGCACCAACTTTTACTGGCTTTTCCCGGGAAAATTAACAGCCTCGCCGGTGGTTTCTTCTCAGATCGCGCCACCGGAGAATCCATGGACCACTCCTCCGCTCACCTCAATATTCCACCGCCGCCGGAGGCCGCGTCTCTCCGCCACGTCGACCGAATGATCAACTCCAACCACTACACCTCGCCTTCCAGACCAATTTACTCCGACCGCTTCATTCCGAGCAGATCTGCCTCCAAATTCGCGCTCTTCGACATCTCCGCGCCGCCGGAGGGCCGCGACGACAGCTCCAGCGCCTACACCACGCTCCTCCGCACCGCGCTGTTCGGGCCCGACGCCGCCGGCGTCGTGCCGCCGCTCACGCCGGAGAAGGCGGCGTCGCCGGCGATGACGCTCCCTAGTCGGAATATTTTCCGGTACAAGACTGAGACGCGGCAGTCCATGCACTCGCTCTCGCCGTTTATGTGCGACGATTCGTTGCCCGGGGTTAGTCACGGCCCGGTCAAAGCTCCGAGGAAGGTTCCGAGGTCGCCTTTTAAGGTAATTTGTGTTTAGTTTAGCTTAATTTGGTTTAATCATGGAGATTGTGATGTGAGTGTGTTTTGTGTGTGGTAGGTTCTGGATGCGCCTGCGCTGCAAGACGATTTTTACCTGAATCTTGTGGATTGGTCTTCGCATAATGTGTTGGCTGTTGGACTGGGTAACTGTGTTTATCTCTGGAATGCTTGTAGCAGCAAGGTGAGTTTTTTTTTTTTCTGCGTGTGGGGGGGGGGGGGGGGGGGAGGAATTGGATTTGGATTTCACTTGAGGAATGTAATGTGCATTTTGGAACTTTAATTTGTCCGAGGTTTGATTTTGCTTGTTCAAAAAAAAAATTCTGTGGTTGTGAGGTGAGGTGAGGTAGGTGGTGTTTTGTTTATGCAAATTGAAGGAGTTGTCTTTTGTGATTTCCTGTGTTGATTTGATCTTGCAGGTTACTAAATTATGTGACTTGGGGATTGATGACCTCGTTTGTTCTGTTGGCTGGGCTCAACGTGGTACACACCTTGCTGTTGGAACTAGCAATGGTAAAGTTCAGGTAAGAGTTTACTAGCTGATCGCTTCTTTGGCGCATTTATGGATTCATATCATGGGGTTTCCAAGGGTGTATTGTTGGTGGGCATGTTTTAAATTGCGGTTATGGTTTGTGTTTTGCCACAATCCTTGGTATTGCAAAAAAGTGGGACAAATGTCGTTGATGAGGCCGAAATTGCGGTCGTGGACTCTGTTTTGTCATGATCCTTGGTATTGCAAACGAGTGGAGACAAATGTGGCTGCAATTGCGATTATGTTGCCATCATTAAGACCCTAAGAATCTTGACGTTATGATCGCAATTATGGTTGTAGACTGTTTTTTAAAAGCTTTAGTCATAGATAGCAATTTATGTCATAGAAGCAACATGAGATAGCCTTCACCCTAGTGGAGCATTATAACCAATTAGCATTATTGTTGTGGGGGATCAGTAGCTATTGTTGATCCTGAAGCCCTAATTTAGGTAAGGTCTAAGCACGCTGTAAGCAAAGACAAAGAAAGAAAAATAGAAAAAATAAGGGATCATCGGGGTAAACTGTCAAGATGAGAATGTAGTCCTTTGTTTTGATTGGTGATAAAAATGAAAATAGCAAGTAATTAACAAGAACTTGCTAGAGGGAAGCAATTGAAGATAGCTTGGAAGGGTTGCCAATTACTTGCTAGACTTCCTGTAGGTGACCCGAGCCTTCCCAGGGGACAGAATGCTTCCTGGGTGGAATCTTGGCTTTAAGGAGGTGAATATCAAATTGTGTGCCACTAGTAGTTAAGAAATTCAAGATCATGGGGAATATTCTGATGATTTTGTCTTTAATAAAATGCTTCATCTTAGAAAAATAATAAGAGTATAGATATGATTGTTTGGGATTAGTTAGAGTAAAGAATAAAGATTTTCTGTACTGTTTTTCCATTTAATTATTTTATTTTTATTGATGGTGTTTAAAATTGGAAGGTTAGAAAATTTCAGTGATATCCTTTTTTTTCCCCTTTCTTTCATTCACTTTCGTTAAATTGCTTCCTTGAGAACACATCACTCCCTTTGCTTCCTTTTTATGAAGCAGAGACACTTGAATATCTTTTAAATGTTTTACTTCATAGGCATATTTGGGTATATTTATTACATTTAATGTTTTCATGTTTGGATATTATGTTTATCAATGTGGTTTTTTAATATATATGTTTATGCTGTGCCAAAACCTTGTATTACTTACCTTGTCCTTTTTGTCATGTTGTATCATGTACTGTCTTGCCTCATATTACTCTTTTCTTCCTTGATCATAATAGTTATGTTACTATAGACTCTGGATTATGGTAAACAATACCTTTGCAGCATATCCATCATTGAATTTCATAATATTCACATATTTATTATTTTAAATTATGTTTTGAATGATGGATATGTTGCCATATATAGGTTTTACCATGAACTTGAATCTATTTTAGCGCTGCTTTGATCATAATACGTCCAAACCACGGATTAAATGGGTCATTTTCCTTATTTTCCATTTTGTTTGGTCCATTGAATCCATTTTAAAAAGAAGTGATGCTCAAAGTATAACAAGGCCATGATACTGTTTATTAAAATGGATTAACTTTCTAACATTAGATTATGTGGTTGACATTTTGAGTTGGCATTTATGTAATTATACAAATATTGGATGCTGCTATTCATGTAATTGTATGAGTCAATCACTGAATACAATAAATGCATTAAAAAGTGAAAAATATAAATAAACACCTAAAATTCTGGTTTATAAATTGGGATAGCCTCCAACAAAAACGAGCGTTATGTCTCTCACACCTGATCTATATGGGACTCATGCTCGTGTCTAACCCTGTGGGTTAAAATGAGCCTTCAAAACTGCGATGCTAATTGATATGGACTGGAATCCACTCTCTGGATGCCAAGCTGATAGGAGGGAAGAGGTTCTCACAGCCAGCCAATGTGGGTTGTGCTTGTGTTCGGATATCATTTACTAAATGGGTTAATTAAGTTTTTGGTTCTATTATACGTATGCTGAAAATCGTCAAGTATGTCAGTTTGTGTCTTACTTGTAAAACCTGTCCTCTTAACTCTGCCTCTGAGGCTCTGCTAGCTCTAGGAAATATAACTTTTTTCATGACAGTGGTTCAATGCAAATTAGTCTTCAGTTTTAAGTTGTATTAGTTTGATAATTATTTATTGATATAGTCCATACGCATGTCACATATAAGATTTTTAATGTAGAAACTTAATTTGCTTGATTTATTGAATCTTAACACCGGTTCTGTAATCCATACTCCATTGCCCTCAAGGGTGTGTAAATGGAAAGAACTTGTTCTTGAGCTAAATTGGGGCTGGGTACATATAGGTTGCTCACTTTTCCTTTTAAGTTAGATGTCTAGTGCATCACTTATATCTTAAACATTTTCCTTGAGACCAAATTCCCTAAGAAAACAGTGTCAAGTTGATCTCTGCTTGACTGTTTTGCACAATCAAGATATGTCTTTCTTCCCATCACATCCCTGAAACTTGCAAAGTTCACTTTATTCTTTCTTTCATGAACCTCTATGTTCTCTGTTACTAAGCCACCAATTAATGCATGCCTGATTCTAACTATTATCTATGTAGATTTGGGATGCCTCTCGATGCAAGAAGATAAGATCTATGGAGGGTCATCGATTACGTGTTGGGGCCTTGGCCTGGAGTTCATCTCTTTTGTCTTCTGGCGGAAGAGATAAGAATATCTATCAAAGAGATATCCGTGCACAAGAAGATTTTGTCAGTAAATTGTCAGGGCACAAATCAGAGGTCAGGCTTGTTTTTTTTCCCTTCAGTTTAATATTGTCTAACAAATGTACAGTATATGGTATTCAACAAGATTTTGATTTTCCTTTTTGGTTCTTCAAAGGTTTGTGGACTGAAGTGGTCTTATGATAACCGTGAATTGGCATCTGGAGGAAATGATAACAGAGTATGCAAATGCAAACTTGAAATCATTCTTTCTGAACTATCCAACTGCACTATTATTCTTTAGTTCTCCTGCATAAGTACTAACAATTTATTTCATGTGTTTGCAGTTGTTTGTTTGGAATCAGCACTCAACTCAGCCTGTCCTGAAGTACTGTGAGCATACAGCAGCTGTTAAAGCTATTGCATGGTCTCCACATCTTCATGGACTTCTTGCTTCTGGGGGAGGAACTGCAGACCGATGCATACGTTTCTGGAATACAACCACAAACTCGCACTTAAGCTGCATGGACACTGGAAGTCAGGTAAAAGTACTTGTGCTTAACCTGTTTATACTTGTATATCAAATTCACTGCATTTTAATATCTGCTCTGTTACAAGGATGGTTATTTGTTGGCACTAAAACGTTTTTGACTTGTTGCTAAACTGTGTACCTTTGTTTAAAGGTAATTTTGATAACTCGTTTAAGGCATGAATGAACAGCAAACTGCTGAAACGAAATCTACAAATTGGAAAATGAAAAAGAATAAAATAGTACTTGAAAAATGATTGAAAGTAAACTGTTGAAAAAGATAAAGTTGTTCAAGAAAGGATTAGAAAAGGGCTTGGTACAACAACATTGGACCTTTAGATGGACATGACTCTCTGTTAATGTAACCATTATGGTTAATGTTGAAAGGTAAGACTATATGCTTACTTGCAAAACTGTTTTCTTTTCCACTTTTTTTATTGAGCAGTAACAATTCATGAGAGTTTTTTTTCAAGTAAGTGCCCTTTAGGCTTAACATGTGCACAATGCCCGTGCCGACTACATGATGAAATTCAACCTTTAAAAAAAATGGGGGCAACAATAAATGAACCCTGACAACTTTGATGGGGAAACTCTAATACTATGTCGACGATCAACTGTTTTAAAAGCTTAAGCTATCAGATAAAGGCTTGAATGGTTTTATAGCATTTCTAACATTATTATTATACCATAACTACGGGAATGTACCTAGTTGAACAAGGGTTGATTGTTGTTGTTATTGTTATTATAACTCTGGGCTTGGAGGTGTGAATGAAGGCATGATAAGGAAATATCTCCACCCCTTAGAAATCCACTTCATGTAGTAAAATCATCATTAACTTTATCATTGTATAGAAAGTGAGACATCACAAAGAAAATAGCTTCAGTCTAGTGATTCACTACCGATTGTAAAGTTTTTTTTTTAAAGCATAAATAAGGCTAAATTAAATGTCAATTTCAGTTTACCATTCATAACTGCAGAAGTTGGATTCTTTTAAGTTTCTTTCAATTTATAAATTGTTTTCAGAATTTGTGGCATTTTCCACTTCACATATTGATATTGAGAGAAGGATTAGACAGTCTCCCTGTTCTGCCTTCACATATTGATGCTCAACCTTTATGTATGGCAGGTTTGCAATCTTGTCTGGTCCAAAAATGTCAATGAACTCGTCAGCACACATGGCTACTCCCAGAACCAGATAATTGTTTGGAGATACCCTACCATGTCAAAGGTACATAATATCTACTGTGATAAGGTGATTCTCTTTTATTTTTACTTAATTTGAACATTTTTTACCATCATTTTTTTATCTTTTGATGTAGTTGGCCACTCTTACGGGCCATACCTACAGAGTTCTTTATCTTGCCATTTCTCCAGATGGACAGGTATTTTAGTTCTTTTACGTGTTCATCTTTCTATATTATCTGTATCTATGATAAAGAAAATGAATATGTTTTTGTTTTATCACCTATCCTATATTTCTGGTTGTGATGGGTTCTACCGTTTCAGACTATTGTAACTGGAGCTGGAGATGAAACACTAAGGTTCTGGAATGTATTTCCCTCCCCTAAATCACAGGTAAGTTATTCATTCAGAGATGAATAAATAAAATTGTGCTGTGGACAGCCATGCTGCTTATTTACGTTTGTGAATATATTGCGTTTAGTTACGCTTGGAACTGTGTCCCTCTTCCTTTGAATATGACCGGGAATGAATTAATTTTACTTTAAGTAGTTTTATAAATGAGCTGCAGTTTTCGTTTCTTTTCTTGTTTTTTTTTTTTTTAAAATTTTTTTAATCTTCAGTTGTTTCGCATTTATGAAAATTACTGGCGTATCATTCCGTTGCTTTATTTATCTATTTTATGTCATTTCCATGAAAGAGACCGAGTATATAAGAAATATTATTTTTGTGCATGAAAAATGCTTTACATACACGCACGACATTAAAAATTGATTTGAATAACAATTATCATGCCAATCCTTTTCAATTCATCAGTTATGTATTGGTTAAATATGTTTGATTGCTATTTGCTACCCCTACCAACCTTAGTAAAGTGATTTAGTGATTAAATCGGTTTGATGGTTAATCTCCTCAAATAATGGCAATGAATTCCTTCGTATTAAATTTTTACATGACCATATCATTAGAAAATTTTGTTTTTATATCTATGTTCTTAAATGTACACAAATTTTAATACAACCCCGCATAATATGGCCATGTGAAAATTTAACACGAGAGAATTTCCTTTATTTCATTGTTTATATGTTAATGATTGACAAACTGGATGCGACAATTGATGCAGAATACTGAGAGTGAAATCGGAGCCTCATCTCTTGGAAGAACTATAATTAGGTGATTGCTCCCTGGCATTTTGATTCAATCATGTGGCATATTTCAAAGTAAGGGTTGCTGTGCAGAAAAAATTTCAGAACAAAGAGCACCATGGTGAAAAACTTAGCATGTGGAAAATACCATAACTATGGCATGCTTTACCAATTAGAGAGCATTGCTGAAGTTATATTATGGCTGCCAAAGATATAGACATGCATGCAATTCGTGATGAGTCTCATTTCTTATAGAAAACAGGATCATTTCATTGTCCGACGTAGATTTATACATGTTAATGGAGTTGTAGCCTTCTCTTCTCTCTCTCTCTCTCTCTCTCTCACTCTCTCTCTATTTCGGTTCCTTTCAACAGTGCTCTCCGATGTTAAAAATTTCAAAGTAGTCCACAGAGAACACTTCCTTAGCAAGGTTGTAACAGCTGTTGTATATAATTATTCTTTTTTAGGATTTTGATACTTTATTCCATTTTTTTTTTACCTTATGGCCATCGATATTATTTTGATTGTTTAATGAAGTTTTATTTGAAACCGTGGTATGGTGTGGTGTGCATTATATGCTCTCTCTGACCTACTATGAAACTGTGAACAGAAAATTTAGGGCGTGTTTTTATTTTTATTTTCAAAAAACTGTTTCTAATTTTTAAAAGCTGAAACAAAAAAGCTTTCTTGATGGATGGAAATTGTTTCTTTTCTAGAGACATAAGGTAGCTGACTTCGGTTTTTGCAAGATAACATAAAGCAGTGATTCTATATGGAAATGGGCCTTATTATTTGGTTACTCTGGTTGGTTGTAAATTACTTTGTTTTACACCAAAAATGCTACCCTCCATTTTAGAGAAAACCCAACTTCTTATTCAATGTTCGCGGGGGCCTTTTTATTTTTTATTTTTTATGGAAATTCTTTTGATATATATCCTTAATAAAATACGGGTACGATATTTAATACGGGTTTGAATACGCAATTTTTAAAAAAATAGAGTACCGTATATCGGTACAGTAATATAAATTTTTTTGGGTGAAAAAGCATGTTAATATAATTTAATATATATAAGCATGAGTAAATTGTATAAATGATAAATAAAATCCAGATATGCATAATTTGTAATATAAAAGAAATTAAACTTCTCAATATGATAAAAAAAATGTAAATAATTAATAATAAAAATTATAACATCTAAGCATGAATATGAAATTACACTTTAATTGTGATATATCATTTTTTAACTATTTCTATATCATTATTTCTTTCTTCATCATTAGTAAAAGGATTTACTTGTAGCTCTTGTTTATCAAGGGAAAGAATAGTAACTTTAAGAATGTCAACTTATTCAAATGGCTTTCATTTATCTTCAACAGCATCCTACATTTTGCTTTCGCCTTCTTTATAACTTTTGCTCTTTCTTGAAAGGAAGCAAAAAATTGTATGAAAAAAAATTTGTCACTCTTCATACCGTAGGTTCTAGGTTGTACACACACGATGAAGTCATTGATGATTCATGTCTTACTTGGGGATAAAAATTGAGATTTGATAGCAAATAAGATTAATAAATCTTAAAAGAGTGAATTTGAGTCTAACTCAACATAATCTCTAGTTAATGTGAGACTTGAACTTTTTTCAATAAACTCCCTTACATTCAGTAAGGATAAGGATTTGAGCCTAATTCAACCTTATAAAACTAACTTGTAAGGAATGGATTTTTTTTTACTTATATACTATTTAATTGCTTAATATCTAATCGACGTGAGATTTGAGTTTTTTTTTTCAATAATAAGAAACCTAATTTTTGTTGTTATTGAAAGATATAGTTTTAATTTATCAGATTTGATACAAGTTCGGTATGTATTTAAAAAGTACTCATGTAAACCTAAATTAAATATTTATTTAGTTTTTAAAAATATTTTAAATATGTAACGACGAATACCCGATATGTACTAAGTACGAGTACGATATGAATTTGGGTACGTATTGGACAAATAGCATGGTTTAAATTGGGTCATATAGCATGGTTGTACAGACTGATACTAACAAAAGTATAGGCAAACTTGATATTTGTATTTACATTGGATTCAGTTTTCATTATTTTCTTCCAAGGATGATAGTTGAGTGCAGGGTGTTCATGGATCGGTTTTTTCAGAAAATCGATCCAAACCGAATCGAACTATTTTATAAAAGTGGATTGGTTAACCGATCCATTTTATATAAAGTGGATCGGTTTTTTTTTAAAATATGGATTAGTTTTTTTGAAATTGGATCTTCGGTGCAGTGCAGTTATCCACTTTTTACTCATATATAGATCGGTTTTTTTAAAAAATCAAACCGAACCGAACCGATCCACTTTGTAAAAATGGATCGGATAACTGAAGCGGTTTTATAAAGTGGTTCGGTTCGGATTTTTTTCAAAATGGATCAGATTTTTCAATACGGATCGAATTGGTTATGAATCGGTTCGGATCAATTTTGATTTTTTGCACACTCCTGTTGAACGACAGACCAATTTGCCTAATTCATTGCTGCAATACTAATTGCGGAAAAGAAAACAGGTAATTTAGGTTTGCTACATTACAAGTTGTGTTGCGTAATTCCTAATCCCATGACAAGATAAGATTTTAATTTTATGGTCGTGGCGAAGGAAGCTCTTAAGACTATGTGATGTAAATTAAGCAACATTCACAATTTCTTTGACATGGTTTTGGCATACCATCTAACTTGCTTACCCTCCTCATGGGACTCACACGCATCTCTCAGTGGACCCAACATTGTACCATGTTTAATTCTGAAATATTTGAGTGAAAGTATACCCAAACCAATGCTTCCTGCAATTCTGGGTAGTCCTTGAACAAATTTTTAGGACCGTGAATGAAGGCTTTCAATACATATATACATGCAATGCAATGATAATGGTATATAGTTACAATCAATGAATTTTATAATGAGAGATTATTCAAATTCATGATACAAATTAAACTTGCTTAATATTACCACTGGAAGCTCCTTGCAGAAGATGAAGTATCTTAGGCCAGCACATATATATAAGAGAAAATGACCTCCACTAACATGGAGGTGAACGTGCAGAGACATCTTTCCCTTAATTAATTTTCATATTCAATGTGCCACCACCTCATCTCTTTGAAATTTTTTGTACCACCCCTGCAACTCTATATAGCATTTCTCAAAACATATACACTAATAAATAAGTAGATCATACTAACTTATTTATTTAGAAACAATTGATAAAATTAGCCGTTAAATTAATTGAAATATGAGAGTATTAGTAATTCTCTTTTAAATCACAATTCAACTCATCAACCTCGACCTGTTTAAGGAACCCAACTACCAAATGTTTGGATCTTATTAGCAAAAATACACTTTCAAATACGATTAACACATTCTTTTTTATTTGTTAAAAATTTTATTGAAAATTATAAAATTACAAGGAGAATATTTTGAAAATGTGCCATAGAGTGTTTCTAACATTTTTCATTGAAAAATTAAAATTGCATAAAGAAAACATACATATTTATTTATATAAATTCTATTTTCTCAGACAACAATATTTTTAATTGATTATGAATATCAATTCTATCACAAACATTGAATTTTATCATTTTTTAAAGATAAAATAATTTTTAACAATTTAAATATAGAAAATAATGAATAAAATAAATAGTATAATCTTAAAAAAATTTAAAAATATTTTAAATGATATTAATAATTAAAATAATTTATCATTATGTTGTAATCATATGAATTGTGACATTAAATTTTTTTTCTCCATATAAAAAAAATTATAAACACATGAAGAAGTTTCGCTTCTACCTCGACCCTAATTAAATTGTAATACTGAAGATTTTGACATTATATTCTATTTTTTGTTAATAAGTTATGTACATGCACCGATGGTATTGCGGTAATTTTATTATTCTTGTTGGGTCTTCGTCTTCTATGATGTATCTTAGGAGAAGAAAGGGGTACCTGCAAAAGACACTCCGATGCTTAAGTCAGTCCTCGATCTCAGAAATATCAATGCTAATCAAATTGGTAATTATGAAAACGTACATTTCTTTGTCACTGGTCACACTTATTTATACTAACATTGATGGGTTTAAGCCTATATACAAGCCCATAAGAGAATCCATTAACACTTGCCTATTAGATGAATTGTTGTAACGAGTCGATAAGTCTTCGGTATGATCGCGCGATGAGTTATAAATCCTTCTAAGGTGTTTTCCCTAATACTCATACCATTATCTGGTATAAGTTACATATTATTTGTCTTTGTTTTGACTAATGACCGACTCAACTGATAAAGTTTTTTTAAGGTAATAATTTATGCTCATGAATTACATCCAAAGGTTTCGACTCGAGAGGTTGTTAATAAAGTAGCATAGACATTAACGCTTTTGGACATAAGCTGACAACACAGACTTTTTAAGTAGAAAGTTGATCATAATTTTTTATCAACTTCCTGCTTACACAAAAAAAAATCCCATATATATAGTCAAAACATTTCATTTTAATTCTTATATATTCTATTTTCACTCCTTTTAATCTATGTTATATATTTTTATAGGAAATAAAAATGAAAATCAATCCCCACATATTAAAAATGAACGATTATCAACGCTTAATCAATTCAATTTTTTTTACTTATTATACTTATTTATGAATTAAAATTTAATATTTTAAAAATAAATTATTAATAGTATAAATTATTTATATTAAATAAAAATATATAATTTATATATTTAAAATTTTCTGTTTATACATATTTTAAATACAATTTTTATGTTCAAATAGAATATTTATTTATATGTATAATTTTAAATATTTAATTTGTGAAATATACATACTAAAATACTAGTAAAGTTATATAAAGACTAAATGTTTAAAAAAATATGTATAAAAATTAAAATTAAAATTAAAATTTTTTAATTATAAAAATAAAAAGATAAACTTTGTGAATATATTTGTACCGTCTCGGTCAGATCCCGATCTGATACCCTTTACAAGTTTTGATCCGATAATTCTTGAAAATCCTCGCGCTCACAAGGCCCAGGAGGCCCATGAACAGAAAAGCATAAAACCTAAAACCCTAGAGCTAAGACGGCAGATTACACTTTTGAATGCTCTGGCTCGGAGGCACGATATAGGAAAAAACCCTAGTCCAACCCTTGACCGGAACAATATTAAAAAAAAAAAAACCAAGGAACAAATATACAACTTGATGGAATATCATCAGTTGACAATATTTTACATTATTTTTGGTATATGCATATATTGTTAATCTTTTATTTATCAAGTGATATTTTAAATTGATTTAAATAGAAGAATTTTGTTATTAAAAATAAAAAAATTATTTTTTATAAAAAATTAAAAAAAAAAAATTTAAGTTGATGTTAACAGACTCTTTTGTTTGAGAGTTGTTTAAGTTGTGGGAGATGGAGAGAGTGATTTTAGAGGTGATATCACAATGGGGTAGCGTGTAAGTCCTGGGAACATATGCAGGCTGTTTCTTTTGGTCCACTCCT